TTGTGCGATCCTCGCAAACAATCCCATATTGTATTACATCGTCGCACAGGTTTATTGTTGGCTATGTATAAAAGGACGTGACTATAGGTATATAAAGGTTGGTCACGACTGTCGTGTGCGAGGAGGGGCACATGACGAGCAATAATAATGGACAGATCTACAGGTTGATAAGTCAAAATGAAAATTCGAATAATAGAAAATTTGAATAATAGAAAAAAATTGTATAATCGACGATCATCGGGTCGATAAGCCAACGCGGCACAAATAAATATAGACAAATCTACGGGTTGATGAGTCGAACGAAAAATTGTATTATAGAGAAGAAGATATATATATATATATATATATATACGTACGTGCCAGACAAAATCCCTGATAAATTAAATAAATTGCATCCGGTACAAAATACAATTGCAACTGCCCTTTTCCCTTGGCAGCACTCATTTTGGACCTTTTATAAAAATTTTGTGTACTATTATCTTGTTGCAAGTACTGTAAAACAAAATTCAAATAAAGAATATTTTATTCTTATATTTTACCTGGTTTTATGTAATGGAAAATGAACTTAGCTCTCATATCTTTAGCAATTTGGCTACAATATTAGAACCTTTACTTGTCATCTCAGCATATAATAGCAGAATGAAACGGCTTGTCAGTATACTTGAATTTATGATGATGCTATTTTTTTTATTTGCTTTTCCTGGAATATATTATTTATTCAGCTCTTCTACATTTGATTATATATGGGCACTTTCAGGTTCTTGTTTGATATTATGGTGTTTTATGGCTATCATTTTAACCCTAAAATTTCGTAAAGAGATATATGAAATATTAAAAGAGGAATTTGAAGAGGAATTTGAAGATGAACTTGGAAATGAAGATAAAGAAATTAGAAAAAATATTATAAGTAGAATTAAGGAAAGAAATGCAGAATTATGGGATATAAGATATCGTAGTTTTCGGCAGCGTTTTTATTGGTTTATATATATATATATTATATCAGTTTTACCTTCATATTATTCTCTCGCATTATTTTGGGTCAAAAAAGATGATATAATCGAAAGAATTGGACATACTGGTTATCTTGTCATTTCAGCCATTTTAATTATTTTACCTTCAGTATTGTTTTTATGTGGCAGGATATTTACAGCATTTTATACATATCATTTATTTTCAGTTTCTTTTAGTTTTTCTATAGCTTATTCAAATAATATATTTTTTACTGATTTGATTTTAGCTGTGATGACATATTTATTGAGTCGAATGTTTGATAAAGAGGTTTTTGTGGGAAGGGCACTTCAGAATGGAGATAATAAATTCATTATATCCTTGGGCGATAAATTCTTATTAAAAACATTACCTTTTTATGATAAATATTATTACAGAAGATCAGAGAAAGAATTAAGATTAGCAGACGAAATAACATATAATGAATTGGTTGAACGGATAATAGAAGATGGCAAGAATAGCAAAGTTAGATTTAGTGAAGTTAATGTTTAAAGTTAATGAAGTTAATGAAGCTAATGAAGTTAATGAAGTTAATGAAGTTAATGAAGTTAATGTTTAATGAAGTTAATTAAGTTAATGAAGTTAATGTTTAATGAAGTTAATGAAGTTAATGAAGTTAATGAAGTTAATGAAGTTAATGAAGTTAA